AAATCACCAATCAAGAACTTATCATCAGGAAAGCAATAACGAAAGAAGAAAACTTCCCTTGAAATCATTAGTTCTAAGTTTAAAAAATCATATAAACTAAATCAAGTGGATGATTTGTAAGAGTATTAGAACTTCTGAAACAGGACAAAGGGTTCCAAGAACTTGTACAAAGCCTTTTATTCCTTTTTAAAAGAAAAAGCCTTTTAAAAAAAAAAATTTAGTCACCAAAGTCTAAAACATAAGGAACAGAAGGAATCCAAAACTTCAATAAGAAATCCAATCGTTGGATAAACACAAAGAAACAAAAGGAATTATCAAGAAAAATAAAGAACAAACAGGTAACAGGAATTGGGAATGGAACCAATTTGGGTTCAGAATTTCTGGGATCTCCATGACAAACAGAAAAAGCGATAATTAGGGAATTCTAATGATCAATCAAACTGGTTGAGCAAAGAATCGAAAGATTTAGCAATTGAATAATCGAGAAAAAAAAAAAAAGAACCCGTAACAAGAATTGAGAACGAGAATAGAACCAATTTGGGTTCAGATTTTTTGGGCATAAAAGAAAAACACCATTCCAAGGTATACTAAAGGATATAAAATGGCCAAGTAAGACAAACCCAATTTCTGGAGACACCGAGGTCCCTCTTTCAGGAATCTACCTTTTATATTCTCCAAGCTATGCACACCTATTGGCTGACAAACTTCTAATAGCACATCAATAATGAAATGTAAAGAGTCTAAGAAGAGAGAGAGATAACCTGGGATGCTTGTGTTGTGCCTGAGTCGCCTGGCTTGTGAGTTGTGGCTTCGAAGATGAGATGAGACAGAGAGGCGAGAGTCTCTGAGATCGATCGACTGAGAGAAGCAGAGAGAGAGAGAAGGGGGCAGCGCTGCTAATAGAGAAAGCCAGAAACAAGAGTAAGTCGGGGGCCTTAGGGTTTAATGGGTATATATATTTATATTTATATAAATATATATATACTTAATGGGTAAACGAGGAGGGGCAGGGACAGGGCGGGGATAAGGGTAAGTTCATCCCCGCACAGGTTTATACGGGTATCCCCGTATACATCTACCGTCCAATATGTACAATCCATCCTGGGTCCAAACGGGACGAATTTTGACGAATACCCGTTTTTTCCCAGTCCACTGCCATCCTTACTCAACACGTGATTGTTGGTGAAGTTGGGACAGAAAGTAGAAAAGTATTTATTTAATTATTTGGAATTTGATTTTTTGAGGATAAATTAGTCTTTTAGAAAATATTTTTTTCAAATCCGCATATCCCCCTAATTTTAGCCCACATTCCGTGGAAAAGACTTATCCCTCCCACAACATGGTTAATGCCAATGTTCATGGTGGGCTAATCTCGGACAACAACAGCCAATCCAAACAAGGGATTTGTGAGCACTTGGACTATTTTGATCCTATTCCACTCAAAAAAGAAATATTTGTGAACTTCTTCACTACGGAGAGTATATTATTGGTAAATGTCACATGAATACTACCAACAACAAGCAATTTTTCAAAATTCTCAAACTGTGTAGTTATTGATAGCACAAAGAAGATTTGTGTTTAATTATTTTTGAGAGGGAGAATAATTAAATATGGTGAGGGCCATTGAGACTTGAGAGTTCGTCTTAATGTATTTCTTCTCATAATTAGTGGAATGATTAGGGGTGCCAATTTTTTTCATCGAGACAAATATGATAAGAAATAAACACGACACGACACAACTTTAAAATGGACATAATTAATATATAAACATAATAAAAATTAGTTGAATTAGTGTAAAATACTTGTGACACATTAAATAATTTTTTGAGTGAATTTTAATATGAACAAGACACAAATTTGAATAACAAGATTGAAAATAACAACACAAAGATAACATTGACACGACACGACGCGAATTGACACCTCTCATATAACACGTGCACGTGAGTAAACCTAAATATTCAGCTCTGTAACGAGCCGGGCAACTTGATGCCCTTTTCTAGGACCGGCAGTAATGGGCCTTTAGGGGTTACTATGGGTTTCTTTCTGAATTTGGCAAGCCTGCCAGTCGGGCCTCCTCAATTGGGCATCTTATTGGGCCAAAAACATTGGCCTACAATCTTCTGTTAGGCTATTGGTACTTTCATGGGCTGCCATAGCTGACCGGGCAGGTCAGAGTCCGATGTGCTGCCGGGCTAAAAAGCCAACCCACGGGCCACAGGCTTTTTGCCTAAACTTGCTGAAAATAAATGAGGTTTTTGGGTGTTGATATATTTTTTTAAACTTGTTTGAGAGAAAATGTATGAATAAGTTGTTTCCTATATTTAGATCAATTTTAATAAAATATTTTGTGATTAGGAATAAAATTCAAATAACCTTTTATTTAGTTTACTTACTTACTCTTTCTTAAACTATGTATTATTCTTATTATTTCACTATCTCTCCTTATTTCTTACACTGTTGTCTCCATTACTCTCTCACTCTCTCTCCCCTATTTTTTCTCTATCTATTTTTCTCTCTTTGTTACATCTCTATCTCTCTCCTATTTTCTCTATATTTCCTATTGATAATTTATTTTTTTTAAATATGTAAAAATTTAATTTGATTTTTACATTTCTCTCTCCTCTATTTTCTCTCTCTGTCTCTCTCCCTTTATTTTCTTTCACCGTTACTTTCTCTTCTTATTCTCTCTATATATCAACATTATAACAGCACAATTACACTAATCAGTTAAACCAATTAATTATACTTGTCTTATAATACACCAAACAGTTATACCAAATAATTACACAAAATTATTACATCAATTCAATTTGTCATTTAATTGCTTACATAAATCAAAGAGCTACACTATTTAGTACCACGACATGGTTATATCAATTATATACACAAAATTTGATGTAATGGTAAACTCTTTTGTGTAATGATAAAATAATGAGTAATGTTATATGAACTTAACAATTAGACTTAAAAATTAGATTATTGATTTTTCTGTGGGTCCCAGTATTTATTGGGACCCACTACCTATTCAATGATTGAGATTATTAGCATTACTCTAAAATAATTGTATGTATAAAGATGATANCAATTAGACTTAAAAATTAGATTATTGATTTTTCTGTGGGTCCCAGTATTTATTGGAACCCACTACCTATTCAATGATTGAGATTATTAGCATTACTCTAAAATAATTGTATGTATAAAGATGACAAATAAAATGGTTAATAGTATTTTTAATCCTTAAAGTATGTAGTTTTTGTTAGATTAGTCTTCAATATATCAAGTTTGTCAATTTAATCTCTAAAATATTTAATTCGTGTCATTTTGGTCTCTAAATAAACGAACCGTTAAGTTTTTAACGGAATAATCACATATTACCATCTAAAAAAATTACATGTGACCACTTCTTTCAAAAACTTAACGATCCATCTATGTAGAGATCAAAATGACATGAATTGAATATTTTAGAGATTAAATTGATCTACACTGATAACAAATACAATTTTTACGGACAAAAAATGCTATTAACCCAAAAATAAATATTGACCTCAAGACTTCGTTGGACAACTGGATTAGGACTCTGCTATCCTAATACATCTCCACAAAGGAGGAGACTAGTGATTCTAATCTCTTTATATTGGTGCTTTGAGTATTTTCAAACCAAAACTCTTCTCTAAACCTTTAGAGTTCTAGCACCACCACACCAAACATGTCAAAGAGTACAAAGTTCTGGCCATGGCAGTGGTGTTGCACTGGCTGCACAGTGAAACAACACCAGACTACCAAGATCGAGACGGCTTGTATACCTGATCTTCCTCATGTTTTGATTATCGACATACTTTCAAGACTTCGCGTGAAGGAACTCTGCAAGTTCAAATGCGTTTCTAAAGATTGGCTTAACTTGATCTCTTTGGATCCTCACTTTAGAAAACTGCATTATGAACAATCTGTGAGAAACCCTTTGTTTCTTTCACGTAGGAGAGCGAACAATTCAAGACAACTTATTATCGATGTAACCACCATGGACACAACCAGAAGCCGACTGCTTACCCAATGGACGATAGATCCAGGTTTCGAATATTGTTACTCCCGTCATACGAAAGACCGGATCACTATGAGTCTAGTTTGTATATTTTAATGGAATATTTTTAATGTACTTTTACATAGGAAAGACCGGATCACTATTTGTAATTGCAGCACTCGAGAAATTATTAAACTACACAAAAATTATTTGGATTTTCATCGAAATACTGTGCACATGAATGGGTTTCTGGGCTTCTTGTGCCATTTTTCTTTTGGTTCAACATTGAAAATATGTAAGTTGGAGGATCCAAAAAGTGTAAAATGGGTTGACAAATTCAGCACCGATTCATTTCCCTTAGCGGAACGGATTAAAGTTGTGGACTATATTTCTTCAGGGTTTTGCAATGAAGCACTGTTGATTCGATCAAGCAGAGATCTTCTCTTCTACAAAATAGGCACCAACAGTTTAACAGCTGGAAACTTGGAAAAACAAGTGGGTAACTCTATAGACCCGTGTCTCTATATTGACAAGTATATATGTTATAGGTAATGCATCAAGTTATATCACGAATAATGCACCAGGTTATATTGCGCTATGCTTGGCACGTATGTACCCATGGTCTCATTGTCCGATAATAGGTAATGTATCAAGTTATCTCACATTGTGTAATGCATCGGGTTATATCACACTATGATTGACAAAATGTACCCATGGTTTCATTATCCTATAATAAATCTCTGCATGGACTTGGATCAATTAACACTTCCAGTTTTGGTCACAAATATATATGGAATTATGAAAGGAAGCAATAGGCTTGTTTGCATCAGAATCATAAGTTTTAGCCTATTCAGAAAGATAGCAGTTAACAGTTATTTTATGTTTATGCACCATAAAAAATGTCAGAGATGGTGTACTTAGTCAATTGGAGTATACCCAAAACAGTGATACACATGGACTAAGGTATAGATTGAGTTGACTCAAGATGATCATGTAAAGTTAATATTTCTGCACTTTATTGTTCACAAAAGTGATACACAAGGAAGAAGATAGTTTCAATGAGATTGACCACCAGATTAATAATGAAGTTATTACAACTTACAAAGCATCTCAATGGAGAATGCTTCATTCATTGAGAACAATAATTGTGTTCATTTTTTACAGAAAGATGCTCAAGAACCCGTCAAATCCTCGCTAAATGAGGGAACAAGGGTGAACCAATTAGGTTTGTGATCTAACATAATTAAGCACCTATAATGGTTGGAGGAATGATCTGATGAATGCAGGAAGAAAAAACATACACCATTAGTTGCCATTGTTGCATTATGTTGCTTGGTAATTTGAGTAACTTAGTCCTCCATGAGTATCCGGCGCTTGGTATCTTTTCGTAATGTTGTCCCATCAAGGGTAAGAGCTTAGGTTCCAGGGAATGTGGGACCTGTGCTAGAGAGGATAATGAAAGCACAAACAACAGAGAGTGAGAAGACAGAAAGCCAAGTATTCTCTGTGTACATCTCCATGGCATCCGTAAAAGAAAAACGAGTGCGGTTATCAGCCCAGTTACGAAGTCGATCTGCTTCTGCTGCATATAATGCTTTACCCTGAATGACAAGTGAGAACAATATTCATTTGGGTTAAAGATAAATAAAAAGTGACAAAAACATTATTAGAAGGAATGGGATTACCTGGTCATCAAACCAACGACCTCGTCTTAGCCATGCAGTGACCAAAGCAAGCAAGATCCTAGGAGGGGTCAAGTAATTAATGGCCTTCCCATTTCCCTTTACAACTCGCATTCGTGGAACTAAGGTTCTCGCAACTGTCTCGGGAAGCTCGCAGATTATGTTAAACATTTGCTTATTTTTAGTGGTTGAACCACTGCAGACAAGCCATAGACAAATTTCACCATGTTACAACAATCTTTAGATAGTAATAAACCCTTTGCACAGGTAATAAAGAATTTGGAAGTTACTAGTTTGGTTGATGCAGACTGCTGCTCTAAACCAAACAAATACACGAAGTAATTGTACCAACTCAAACGACAAATGGAGCAAATAATTGCACATTCATGATTTGATAAGTTCATAAAGAAAAGAGGAACACTAAATACACAGCGGAAGAAAAAGGGATGCTTCAGATGTACCTTAAGAGCAAGTCCGTCAGGACCATGCCTGGAGAGGCTGTATGAACTCCGACTTTTGACCGCTTACATTCCTTCAAGAGGGACGACTGAAGCTGCCTAAGACCGCATTTTGTCGACCCGTAGCTACAGACCAAAGGAGAAGAAATGGCACAAGCATCATCAGCAAACTTAAGGAATTTGAAGACAACTCACTCTACAAGTTTAATAACAACAGACTGAAGTCGAGTAGTAACTTTCAGTGTCTGCACACGAGGAGATATTCTTATTTAATTGACAACCGCAGAACTTACACGGCTGTCAAAGGAGTGCTAGATCCTCCAGAGCCAGCACCATCCATGTTAAATATGTGACCTCCCCTAACCTGGCTACTCATGACACTCATGGCTTCACGAGTGCAAAGGATAGATCCAACCAAGTTTGTAGAGACAATCTGTGCATGCAATCACGAGATACTGGGTTAATCAATTTGCAGTAACAAGGGATACCTTATGAAAAATATACATTTACTGACGACTAGTTGCCGGCAATAATCAAGATTCTGTCAGGTCAGAAGGTCAAAGGACCACAAATGAAACCTATAAGCGTTCACTAATATATAAGCAAGCAACTTCTTTTTCGCTACATGCCTGAATACACTTACAGAGGAGGATGGGAAGATGTAGTTATAACAGATTATTTGGAGCGAAGTTTCAATATATAAGGAGGCAAAGTAACAAAACACAATCTCAATTAGATCATGAAATGGATATTTGTAAGGAAAGCAACGGCTTGCACCTCATAGAAAGTAACAGAATTATTTTGGTATATTTAGTGTGGTTTTTAGAAGAGTAAAAAATGGAACTTCAACAAAACAGCATTTAGAAAAAGAATCCGTAAATATGCAATAATAGTAGGTGCATACCTGTTGAATATCTTCATCGCTAAACTGCAGCAAAGGCCTAAAACCTTTGTTTGTCCCAGCATTGTTTATCTGTTCAAGGATTCAGAATTAAAAATTAGCAGCCAGGAAACTAGATGAAATTCAAAGTGGGTTGCCAAATGGAACAAGAGTCATGTCTTCTGTCCCAGTATCATAAACGAATCAAGGAGAATCAAACTTTGAGGTTGGGCCAAACTAGTAAACATAATTCAATGTTCATGGAGAATTCATAAATGTAATCACAACATCAAATGAAAAGATATTATGCAGCTTACTGTTTTCTTAGTGACAATAATCTGGTGAATGTAATCATGAGAGAAATAAAACATTATCACTTCACTGTTTTCTCATGACTACATGAACATGAAGAGAGTAAGTATTACAATGTAAAAGCTCCCGAAAGTAAAGTATATAAAGTAGTAAATTTCAGATGACAGAAAGGAAGAGCAGTTCCCTGCTAATATGAGATTATAATTCATCGTATATTATTAAAGCAGTTCTAAAGAGAGGGCATACAGAACATATTTAGGCCAAACTGTCAGATATCAATGATGAGATATTGGAAGAATGAAAATGCTGAATCGCTCACCCAAATGTCAATAGAACCAAGTTCTTTGACAGCAAATTTGGCCAATTTCAGCACGTCATCGGGTTGACAAACATCACAAGCAATACCCACTACTTTTGCTTGTGCGAGATTTCTCCTAGAAGAACTGCCAGCAGTAACCATACCTTCCTTCAGGTTCTCCTCAAGCTCGCTAATAGTCATATTTACAGATTCAGGGCTGCCTTCGGAAAGAACCAAGGACAGATAAATGTTGTGAGAGGCAAATAAGTGACAATGGCAAGCACAAAATAACAATCAATATGAAGATGAATAAACACATTCTGTGATTCGATACACCACCTGCGAGAAGCAACAACCACGCGATCCCCGGAAAGTAGAAACTCCCGAGCAAGGGCTTTGCCCAGTCCTCTTGTACTGCACCAAGCAGATACAAAAAAAGAATCAGTCACACAGAAATACTCCTCTTCCACATGAGCGATCCATCAGTAGCTTACCTAAGCAAATTGTGATTTTCCATATAACCATGATAGATGCAAAGTGTAATACCAACAGGAACCAACTCCAAAAATCATATAAAATTACAGACAGAAAACTACTAGCATTTTGTTTACCACCAACCTTTAGTAAGAGATCGATAAATCAGTGTGACATGAAATGGGAGCCTAAAAAAGAAAGCCTGAAGCCCCTTTCATACAAAGTGATTAAAGCAGATACCTTGGCAAAGCAATTAACAATGTCATGTCCAGGTACTCAAACACTAAAAATTCAAGTATAGCAAAAAATTTGACTACTTTACTGAAGCAAACCCAACAGATTTTTATCAAATTTAAAGCAGCAAATGAAGTGCATTCAACCTTACAACAGATTAAGAAAATGTAGTACCTTCCAGTTATGACTACATTCCGGGGACCAGCTCGACTTACTTCGTCTAAGACCATGTTAGAACCAATCAAAGTCCCAGCAATAATTCCTCCAAGCCAGCTATACCATATCAAAGCATTCATTTGGCTATCTCCACCTATACAAAAATTATACAAAAAAAAGCATTGAATTTCTATAATCAATTATTAATAGAACTCAACAGGGCTTGTCCCAACTATTAGGGGCCAGCTATCGATCGATTATGACTATGGAATCGAAAATCAGAATGATTGTAGAACACATCCAACTACTACTGAATGCATATAAGCTAACCTGACAACTGAAATCCAATCAACAGTATTACTCCAGTGCTCATCATGGTCACAATGTATCTCCCAATTTGGACAGCAATCTGCCCATTACAAATTAGAGGGAGACAGAGGTCAGTAAAGATTTCAACATCTCACTACTATTACAGAGAGATTAACTACAATATTTGAAAAAGAGCTTAGGACCTAATTTACTGACCTAATTTGTTGACCTAATTTATTATGCGATTGGATTAATTGTGGGTCCATCAAACATTAGAACTTGGTGTTTATCTAATGGTTTCAATAAAACCATGTTATTAAGTCAGCAAATTATGCCAGAATTTTAGCTCCAAATAACATTTTCCTTTGAAAAATAATCGGCAACAACAATTATAAGGAGACTCAACTTATTAATTTACAAATATGAGGATTATATTTATATATATATATAGATACACTCGAGTTGCAAAAATAATCTCTCCTTACAAGAATAAGGTTACATCTAATAAGGTTACATCTAACCCTCCTAGGGGCGGGAGCCTCGATGCGATAACAATCTCTCTACTTGCAAGAATAAGATTGCATACACCAGGTACATATATATATATATATATATATATATATATATATATATAAAACGATTGAAGATTCATTTTTTATTGATTTTCCTAGGAACCAAACAGAAAGTTAACCAACTTACCACGGATAATCTCTCCTCAAACTCCTCCATTGCCTTTCGAAACTTAACCTCCGAGAACCCATAAACCAGAGACTTGATAATATTCTTAACTTTATCAATTCCTTTCGTAGACTCCGACCGCAACCCATTATTTTCCATCAAATTCCCACCCTTTCTCGCACTTTCCATCTCTTTCTCTCCCTCCTCGGACCTAAACGACCTGCACGGTTTCACACAGACTCTACCTTTTCTACCCTTTAAAGGGTCCCACAAACTCCGGCGAAAACCCGGTCGAACTGGCTGTGGTTGGCTGGTTCGATGGTGGTTGTAATCTAGTAACGATAAGTGCAATTTCACCACAGTGGCCATTTGGGAAAATTAAATATTGCCCCAAATACAGAGGTTTTTGCAGAAGATCTGAGAATTGTGAGTTCATGTACTCTGTAGCCCAATTTTTGTGTTGAGGTTATGAGATTTTTTTTTGGGACCTCAGACTTAACCTTAAAAAAACTGTTTGGGGGTTTGCAAATGAAAATATCTACGTTTCAGATGACAATCAAAAAAAAAAAAATCTAGGAAGTGGAATAGATTCCAAAAGCGAAAGATCTAAAACAGACAAGAGATTGAATGTTGAGACAAGAGTGAAGCGTGATGACCACACGTTGAAGCAATCTCATCTCTAAGTTTCCATTGACACGTGGTGTTATGGGTCTGCTGTTACGTGTTGCTTTTCCGTCAAGAATCTCATTCTCTAATTCAACTTGACTGCTGGAGCTAGTATTTGTCCACGGCAATGATACGTCACTTTAAAAAATAAATTTAAAAATTAGATTTTATAATCTCAATCATTGATTTTATTGTGGATCTTAATATTTATTGAGATTCACTACTTATTCAATAGTTAAAATTATCAAATCTAATTTTTAACTCCATCTAATATTACTCATTTGCCCAAAATAACATTATTGTTAGGACGAATTACACTTTTTACAGTGAAAGATTTACAAATTTTCACTTTATTTTTAAAGATTAGATGATTTATATTATATTTTTAATGTATTAAAAGTGTTATAATAATTTTTTTTGTTATTTTTTATTATTTATTTTGTCAATGTTAATGAGATCGTTTTTGACTGGTTGAACAATAAAAACTCATAAAATAATCACATTACAATACTTTTAATATATTAATTATGTAATATAAGAAATTAGTAATTGCCCGTGCCAGCCACAGAGTAACAAAAAAAATTATGGTTAATTAAAAGGCATACCAAATCAAAATAATTGGTAAAATACATAAAACTAACTGTTCAACAATACTACTACCAATAATATATTACATATAATTATGACTATATATGTGAATATCAAACCAAAATAATTAGTTTAACACATAAAATCTCAGTAGTTAATATAAACTAACTTTTATCTTTAAAAAAATTTCGATAGAGTTCTCCTTGAAAACATGATCTAATTGATAATATCAACCTATGTGTATAACTCATAATCAAACCTTTCTGTAAATAAACACTACCTTAAATCAATAATCTTGTCACATCACGTTAATATCGTTATTATCATTGTTTATCAACTGCTGCAATTTAATAATTCAAAACATCTAACACAAAAATGAATAAGATACAAATTATAAACTAAACTAATACTAAACTGAGGCTAATATCAATAATTAAATACATTCACTCATCCCGTATAAGTCAAATAACCTGTAAAATTAATATATTGTACCTCCTAGTTAGTTGTCATGCCTAAAGGTACTTTATAATATAAAAAAAATAATTAATTAAAATCCACTAAGATTGATTTTTAATTTGGGATGTTTGAAATCACCTTTATCTTATTAGTATAGATGAGATAGAGAGAGAAAGAGAGCTAAATAAGATGAGAGAGAGAGTTTTATGAGAGATAGAAGTGTTAGAGTTAAATCTAATTATGATCGTCAGATCAGTATTTATGAGATGATCTAAACCGTCTTTTATAAACCGTCTTTTATGTTGGGATTACGTTGTCTGTTGTCTGTTGGATGTGTTTATAATTTGTTTCAAAACGATCTGGACCTTTCTTTGTTTCTAGATTCAAACTCAATTCTACTTTATTATATAGATATAATTTTAAGGGTGTAAAATAAAAATTTTAAAATCTTTTAATGTGCAAAAATATGGTCCTCTATTCTTTTCAAAAATAATTCTCAAACTAATACTATCACATAAGTAATTTCCATTCTAATTTATAATTTTTCCGATACATTGGAAAGTAAAATAAAACACTAATAAAAACGACACTAGTTGAGTCAGCCATGAGGTTATTTACAATCTAGTGTGGAGAGGAGTCAAATTCCACAAATCGCTCCTCTTGTTGCACTTCTAGGTTTGCCAATGCATATGCACATTGGTTTTCTTCTCTCAATGTGTGTGTGATACGAATCTGAAACTTAGTCATCATATTTTTGCATCTTACCAATAATGATGTGCTTGGATGTGATTTTTCAATATCGTGAGAGAGGAGTCTTGCAACCTCTAAAGAATCAGTCTCCACCGTAACATTACTAAGTCCCTTTGCTTTGAATGAGTTGCAGCCCCTTAGATTGGCCAAAGTTCCACTTGCAGGCTTGTTGTGCCATTAAGGAACTGTTTGATAACACCATTTAAGACAGAAAATTAAATATTTTAAGCATTTAATAAATTAAACTCATTTAATAATCTAAAACTTATATTACTTCATATTTTAAGCGCTTCTTAAAAATAGGTTAAAATTTTAAGTAGCAAGCCACCTACTTATCACTTAATGCTGAAAATGTTAATAATTAAATATTTTTATCAATTTTTTATAATTGACAAATATACTCTCCCCACCATTGTGTCATCGCCACTACCACCAACACTATCACCACCACCACCATTGTACCATTGCCACCACCACCACCGTTGCGAACACTACCACCACCATCATTGTGCCACTATCACCATCATCATTGTTGCCACCATCACTATCATTGTGTCACCGTCACCACCACCACCACCACCATCTCGACCACCACCATGCTGCCACCATATCCACCACTGTCAACAACACTATGTCGTTGCCACCACCATTATCATTATATCACCGCCACCACCACCATTGTGCCATCGTTACCATTACCACTATTGTATCACCGCCACCACCATCACTATCGCCATAACCCGCCACTACCATTGTGTCGTTGCCAACACCATCATCATTGCCGCCACCCTACTATTGCGTCATCGCCACCCTACCATTGTGCCATGGCTACGACCACGACCACCATCACCACCACCACCATCACTACCATTGTGTAACCGTCACCACCACTATCATTATGTCACCACCACCACACATCATTATGCCATTGCTACCACCACCACCATTATTTTGCCATTGCCACCACTACCATTGTGTCATCGCCACCACTACCACAGTGTTGCCATCACCACCACTATCACCATCATTGTCGTCGCCACTATTATTGTGCTACCACCACCACCACTATTGTCGCCACCACCACCATTATAAGCAATGTTATTTTATACTTATATGAGCAATGCTATTGTTTGGCGGATTAAATATGGGTGGTATTGAAAATGTATTCCTTACATTTTCAATACCAATATAAATTAATACCGGTAATAGAAAGTATTTCAATCCTCTTCCATGTTTGTTTGTTTAATAGGTACTATGATGGGTGATTAACCATCAAAATTGTTATTTTATTATATTTAATGATTATTTAATTTCATATTATTTGTGATTAAATGTGTTAAATTTCATGATTTTTTAGTTTGATACTTTTTCTAGTTATTTGATTTATTTTGCAGGTAAATTGATTGATTTAAAGTAATAATAGATAAGACAAGTGAAACAATCACTAGAGGAAGAATTACAATTGATAACGATTGAAGAGTCAATAATGAAATTGGAAGACTTGAAGATATGATAGCAATTTAATCCTTATAAGAGTTCAAGTTGGAAGAAAACTCATTTAGAGTTGGATTAGGAAAATATCCTAGAACATAAGGATTTGACACATTTTCAGTATTTTGGTCATAACATTTTACTCTGATATCCGATTTACTTAATTTTTGAGGGTTAGAAAGAAGATTTCAAGGGCTACAAAAGTGTATTTCACTAAATTTTCGTGAATCAACCTCTAATATATGCGAAATCTAAGATCGAAGTCTGAATAAATTTTATACCAGCGCCCCAAAGATTTTATATACGAGATTTAATCTTACAAGACTTCTTTTTGAGAAAGGAATTCATTTCAAGCCAACCTTAGATCTCCTACCTATACTTAGGATTTATTTTTAGTATAAATAGGGGTTATCATTTAGAGATTATTATTATTCTTTTTCCATCTTTTTATTTTAATTTTAATTCTTCATTTTTGGTTAAAAGGTTTAGCTAGGGCTAGAGGAGGACCTTTCAATGAAGTACGGTAATGTTATTGACTTCTGAGTTTAATGATTTATGATGTTTTGTTAATTTAACTTTTGATCTGTTAGCAAAATTTTTGCTCAGTAAAAATTCTTGAGTTGTTGTGTCATGTACATCGATTGCTTGAATTTTCCTGCGAGTAAATAACTGATTATTCTACGCTTGAGATAATTATCATTATTCATAAAATAATATAATTGGATGATTATTCAGGTTCCTAAATAATCTTTTGATTATAACTTTAGGATTTCTTACTTGATTTGTTACTTGAATCAACCGACATCTGATTTTTGTTTTAAGTTAAGATTTGAATCTTTAATCATTATTGTATAGAGTTGAGAGGGAGTACCTAATGCTCTAGGATTTTTACTACTGTTTTAATTATTTAAATCAACTTTCTTTGCTCAACAATTCCCTAAACAAATCAGTTATTTTTAAGTTTGTTTTAGTATTTATGTGATTGCTTTCTTGTTACAATTCCTTGAGGGTTCGACCTTGATCTTCTGAGAAATATATTACTTCGCTCAACCTGCGTTTGGGTTTACAATATTAAAGTTGAAGCAAGTTTTTAGCGCCATTGCCGAGGAGTTGAAAGACAAGGAGCCATCACATCTTTTAAGGTTTTCGATATTTGCGATTCGTCGGAGATTTGGTAACTTCGTTCTAATTTTTATTTATTTTATTTATTTTATTGCAATTTATTTTCTTTTTGTTATTTAGTTTAGTTTTTTGTTTTATTTATTTATTTTTTTTATTTTTTTATGAGTTCTTGACATCATGATTTGAGTGGTCATTTGATAATAGGAGATTTAGATACTCTGTTTGAAAATTTATTTGATTCATCTGATTCAAATCATATTTCTCATACAATGACTGTTGATCCTAATGATAATAGATGAAATAATTTACTTGAATATGAGGAGCACGAGGATATGGTAAATAATCATGATGAGAATGATGTTGATAATCTGAATGCTAATAATGGTCGGACTTTGCGTGATTATTTACAACCTGCACGTCACACTACACCCTCATGCATTATTTTTTCACTAAATGCCACAAATTTTGTTTTCAAATCTGACACGATTTCATTACTCCCAAAATTTCTTGGTTTAGAGTCAGAAAATCTCAATTTATATATTAGAGAAT